TCAAAAGATCAAAGTTGTAGGTCTCTTCAACAGCTTTCCAATAAGTCTTAAATCACCTCATTCCGAGTTAGAACTAACATGGCACAAACTTCTATTATGATGTGATTTAAGACTTGTTTTCGCTATAATTTCTCCGCCCGAACTCGGAATGAGATGATTTAAGACATGTTGGAAAGCCGTTGAAGAGACCTACAACTTTGGTCTTTTTAGATTTTCTAGATTCGAATGGCATAAGATAATAAATGATCAGTTTGTGCCATGTTAGTTCTAATTTATGCCATGTTAGTTCTAACTTATTTCATGTTAGTTCTAATCTACACCATGTTAGTTTATATTGTTATTTTCGCTGTAATTTCTTCGTCTGAAGTCGGAATGAGGTAATTTAAGATTTGTTAGAAAGCTATTGAAGAGAGCTACAACTTCGCACTGCAGAGAGAAGACTTCCAAACAACCTTTCCTCAACTCAATATCATTACGGAATGAGTAGTCTTTTAGACTTTTTCAGATCTTGCATACAGTTTGTGCTATGTTAGTTTACATTGTTGTTTTTATTGTAATTTCTCTATCCGAACTCGGAAGAAGGTGATTTAAGACTTATTGGAAAGCCGTAGAAGAGACCTACTACTTTGGTCTTTTGAGCTTTTCTAGATTCGAATGACATCGGATAGTAAATGACCAGTTTGTGTCATGTTAGTTCTAACTTATGTCATGTTAGTTCTAACTTCTGTAATGTTAGTTCTAATCTATATCATGTTAGTTTACATTATTGTTTCCACTATAATTTCTCCGTTCGAAATCAGAATGAGGTGATTTAAGATTTGTTAGAAAGCTGTTGAAGAGACCTACAACTTTGGTCTTTTAGACTTTTTCAGATCTTACATACAGTTTGTACCATGTTAGTTTATATTGTTGTTTTTGCTGTAATTTCTCCATCCGAACTCGGAATGAGGTGATTTAAGACTTGTTGAAAATCCACTGAAGAGACCTACAACTTTGGTCTTTTGAGTTTTTTCAGATTCGAACAACATCAGATAGTAAATGACTAGTTTGTGTCATGTTAGTTCTACTCATGTTAGTTCTAACTTCTGTTATGTTAGTTCTAATCTACACCATATTAGTTTATATTATTGTTTTTGCTGTAATTTTTCTGTCAAAAGTCGGAATGAAGTAATTTAAGATTTATTACAAAGCTGTTGAAGAGACCTACAACTTTGGTCTTTTAGACTTTTTCAGATCTTACATACAGTTTGTGCAATGTTAGTTTATATTATAATTTTCGCTGTAATTTCTCCGTCCAAAGTCGGAATGAGGTGATTTAAGATTTGTTAGAAAGCTGTTGAAGAGACCTACAACTTTGGTCTTTTAGACTTTTTCAGATCTTACATACAGTTTGTGCAATGTTAGTTTATATTATAATTTTCGCTGTAATTTCTCCGTCCAAACTCGGAATGAGGTGATTTAAGATTTGTTAGAAAGCCGTTGAGGAGACCTACAACTTTGATCTGAGCTTTTCTAGATTTGAATAGTATCAAATAGTAAATGACTTGTTTATGCCAAGTTAGTTTTAACTTATGCCATGTTAGCTCTAACTTCTGTTATGTTAGTTCTAATCTACACCATATTAGTTTACATTATTATTTTCATTGTAATTTCTCCGTCCGAAGTCATAATAAGATGATTTATGATTTGTTAGAAAGCTGTTAAAGAGACCTACAATTTTGGTCTTTTAGACTTTTTCAGATCTTACATACAATTTGTGCCATGTTAGGTTATATTGTTATTTTCATTGTAATTTCTCCATCCGAATTCGGAATGAGGTGATTTAAGACTTGTTGGAAAGCCGTTGAAGAGACCTACAACTTTGGTCTTTTGAGATTTTCTAGATTTGAATGACATTAGATAGTAAATGACCAGTTTGTGTCATGTTAGTTCTAACTTATGTCATGTTAGTTCTAACTTCTGTTATGCTAGTTCTAATCTACATCTTGTTAGTTTATATTATTATTTTTGTTATAATTTCTCTATTCAAAGTCGGAATGAGGTGATTTAAGATTTGTTGGAAAGCTGTTGAAGAGACCTACAACTTTGGTCTTTTAGACTTTTTCAGATCTTACATACAGTTTGTACCATGTTAGTTTATATTGTTGTTTTTGCTGTAATTTCTCCATCCGAACTCGGAATGAGGTGATTTAAGACTTGTTGAAAATCCACTGAAGAGACCTACAACTTTGGTCTTTTGAGTTTTTTCAGATTCGAACAACATCAGATAGTAAATGACTAGTTTGTGTCATGTTAGTTCTACTCATGTTAGTTCTAACTTCTGTTATGTTAGTTCTAATCTACACCATATTAGTTTATATTATTGTTTTTGCTGTAATTTTTCTGTCAAAAGTCGGAATGAAGTAATTTAAGATTTATTACAAAGCTGTTGAAGAGACCTACAACTTTGGTCTTTTAGACTTTTTCAGATCTTACATACAGTTTGTGCAATGTTAGTTTATATTATAATTTTCGCTGTAATTTCTCCGTCCAAACTCGGAATGAGGTGATTTAAGATTTGTTAGAAAGCCGTTGAGGAGACCTACAACTTTGATCTGAGCTTTTCTAGATTTGAATAGTATCAAATAGTAAATGACTTGTTTATGCCAAGTTAGTTTTAACTTATGCCATGTTAGCTCTAACTTCTGTTATGTTAGTTCTAATCTACACCATATTAGTTTACATTATTATTTTCATTGTAATTTCTCCGTCCGAAGTCATAATAAGATGATTTATGATTTGTTAGAAAGCTGTTAAAGAGACCTACAATTTTGGTCTTTTAGACTTTTTCAGATCTTACATACAATTTGTGCCATGTTAGGTTATATTGTTATTTTCATTGTAATTTCTCCATCCGAATTCGGAATGAGGTGATTTAAGACTTGTTGGAAAGCCGTTGAAGAGACCTACAACTTTGGTCTTTTGAGATTTTCTAGATTTGAATGACATTAGATAGTAAATGACCAGTTTGTGTCATGTTAGTTCTAACTTATGTCATGTTAGTTCTAACTTCTGTTATGCTAGTTCTAATCTACATCTTGTTAGTTTATATTATTATTTTTGTTATAATTTCTCTATTCAAAGTCGGAATGAGGTGATTTAAGATTTGTTGGAAAGCTGTTGAAGAGACCTACAACTTTGGTCTTTTAGATTTTTTTAGATTCGAACAACATCAGATAGTAAAATATATATAAACTTTTAACTGTCTTTCTTCGTACATGTATATTCACAAATAGTTTGTGCCATGTTAGTTCTAACTTATGCTATCGTCACCTCAGATTTACTTCTTCATGAACAAGTAATCAACGCTTCTTAGAAACAAGTTCCTCATTCAAGTTCTGATTGAATATGGTCGCGATCTGTCTCTCGTTGGATTTGTTGATCCATTTTAATAGTTATTGATTAAACTCTAAACTTCATATCCGTTTTTGAGGTTTACTTTAGAGGTTAGCGCGCCGTGTTGTTTGATCATTCATCATCCTTGTCCTCTCTTACATATCCTCTATCTGTAAGAATATGTGTTATGGCTTAGTTTATGACCAAAAATAAAGGGCTTATAACTAGTCAAGACCCTTGCATCTTTTTCAGTTTTCTAAAACTAACACACGGTGAGTTCACGATGAATTAGAACTAACACAAGAGCCCAAGAGCCGTGAATTAGAACTAGAACTAACACGCAGTGAGTTAGAACTAACACGCGGTGGGTTAGAATTAACATGCGGTGAATTAGAACTAACACAAGAGCCCAAGAGCCGTGAATTAGAACTAGAACTAACACACGGTGAGTTAGAATTAACACGCGGTGGGTTAGAACTAACACACGGTGAGTTAGAACTAACACAAGAGCCCAAAAGCCATGAATTAGAACTAGAACTAACACGCGCTGGGTTAGAGCTAACACGCGGTGGGTTAGAACTAACACGCGGTGAGTTAGAACTAACACAAGAGAGCTTGAATCAAAATGATTTGTAACTTTAACAATACAAAAATCCGAGTAATTATGAATCAAAATTGTCTACGCAATTGCTCAGACTTGAATAAAGCTTGAACTACAACATATTACTCGGATTTTTGTATTGTTATTAAAGTTACAAAGCATTTCTGACAGAAGCAACTCACAGTGAAGAACATATATTTAATTTCTTGTACATTTAGAAAATTAAATTATTGCACCTGTCAAAATGGGTGAAACAATATAGGTTTTGTGTTCTGTAACCACTACAATTAGCTGAATACAACACAAAGGAAAAGAATAATAATATTCATTCCTCCTAACTTATCTTTATTAACAATTACACGCAGCGGCGGGAAAAGACGAGTAGTCGAATCGGGCCGGGACTGCCGACAACATTGACGGCGAACCCGAGGGACGAAGCGGAGGGCGGCAGCGACGAACTCCGGCGTAGTCGAGGGAGAGGCGGGGAGCGGCGGTGAGCAACGGCGACGAGGTCGGATGGAGGAGATGAGGGGAGGCGGCGGCGAACTCGAGGGCCTAACTTGCGGGCTAGGGCGCAGATCTGGAGCCCGACGTCATGGTGAAGGGCGTAGTCGAGGGCGGGAGCGGGGCTTGAGAGTGAGAGGAGAGAGAGATAAGAGGAGAGCTGGAGAGCAGATGAGAGGGGATAATGATATATTGGGGATTTTAGCTTAGTTGGCATGCAATAATTGCTAAAAGGGGCTGCACCACAAGATGTCACATTTTAATGGGCTGAATCACATGTGAGAAAGTTAAATGGGCTACAGCACATGAAGTTCCCACTTTTGGGGCCCCAACACAATTTTCCCAAAAGAAAAACGAGGAAAAATGATATAACAATTTTGAAGTCAAATTTTACAAAAAACCTGGCAAAGTACGTTTATTTAATAAACTAAATTGTGCAGGGGTTATCTGCTAAATCACTACATATTCAGTGAATCGCTGTGATTACTGCATCCTATTTAAACTCCCGAGGTTCGACGAAACCTTCGGTTTTTTCTCGCTCTTTGCCGTAGCTTTATTTAATTATTATTGTCTTCTCGCTTGTGGAGTAGAGCAATGGAGAGCGCGCGCATTGGGGCTTCAACAAGGGTTAGGGTTTCGATTCCGAGCCCTATTCCTCCAAAATCTCGAAGAAATCTGCTCTTCAATGAGTTTGCCCCAAAATTCTCGTCGAAAAGCATTCAGAAAGCCACTGTCCTCCGCTGTGTGAGAGACCAGGTCAGTGATTTTGTTTAATTTGGCTCCTTTTTACTCTTTTACGGTGAATTTTTGTACGTTGTAGCTAAACATTGAACTGATATAAGTTTTAGTTTTGTTCGAGATTTGGTATCCTATTCATTGTTTATGTAGTTGTTTCCTTGATTGGCGAGAAAAATTCGCATTAGTCGTGAAAACCTTGAGAAAAAAGATTTCTTTTTCCTATCTCTATGTGGGTTTTCAGGAGGGTTTTTTGGTCCTGAGGTTTTACAAAGAAGAATTTTTCAAAACAGACCCACTCCAAATTTTTTTTCTTAAAACCGACCCGTTTTTTATTTATTTATCAAAACCGACCCGATTTTGTAATTAGCAGCTTAATCACCTTCCTAAACAGTCGGGTTGGCAACCCCGACTATTTAGGACATTAATTTTTAGGATTTAAGGCTTCTAATTAGGGTTTAACACCTTCCTAAATAGTCGGGGTTGCCAACCCCGACTGTTTAGGATGGTGATTAAGCTGCTAATTACAAAATCGGGTCGGTTTTGATAAATAAATAAAAAACGGGTCGGTTTTAAGAAAAAAAATTGAAGTGGGTCTGTTTTGAAAAATTCTTCTTTTACAAATTACCACGTCATTTGTTGTTGGGAGGGCTAGAAATGAATGAAATCCTGCAAGAAAATTCCTCTTTCACTATTTTAGAGTTTATTATTCATAACAAAAGTAAAAACGTTAAAGAAAGACCCTCATCAACAAATAAAACAAATGACAAATATATCCTTATCACATGACATGAAAGACTTGTAACATAACACTTACAACAAATTGCATGACGGAAATACTGAGACATTCTTATTTGTATGTTTTTAAAAAAAATCTTCCGATTCGAATCAGAATATGCTTCTATGAATTTCTTTGAATTTGAAAAAAAAATTGATTAGTAATTAATTGTTTATGAATACTAAACTACTTAATTAATAAGGTACTTTTATTTGGCTAAAAAATACTTTTTTAAAGAATTTGATTTTTAAATAGCATTTAAATTTATAGGGTATTGAAAACTGTTCCATTATAATTATTATGTATATGTCTGTGATTGAATATCTGGTTAAAAAAATAAATATACATCCAGTTAAATTCTCTTCATTTACGAATCAAATATTAAAAATTATTGGGTTAATTGCAAACATATCCTCTGTAGTATCACCCAATTGCAAAGAGACCCCTTGTAGTTCTATTTGGTGCGAATAGACCCACTATACTTCTACTTGTTGTATATAGGCCCCCTTAGTATTGGCCCATGTGCGAATGCACCCCATTAATGAACCTTTTCGACTCTTTTAAAAGTTTAAAAAGAAATTACTAATTGGGTGTCTATCCTCACCTATTGAGCTAAAGGGGGTCTATCGGCCTCCTCAAACATTTTGTATGATTTTAAGAGAGAAAAAAAGATCACTCAAGGGGTCCATTCGCAAGAAGTAGAACTACAGGGGCTCTATTCGCGACAAATAGAACTACATTGGGTCTCTTTGCAATTGGGTGGTACTAGAGGAGGTCTCTCTGCAATTAACCCAAAATTATTTGTTTAGTATCAAATGAATTACAAAATTGAATACAACCAATATTAAGACTGAAAAATAACTAAATTTTTATTAATTATTGCCCCCCCCCCCCCCCCCAAAAAAAAAAAAAAAAAAAAAAAGAAAGAAAGAAAAACAAAGTTACTGGGATTAGTGTTAACTTTTACGGTTGGCATCCTTTTTATTTCTTTATGGTATTGTTGAAGGATAGAGATTCGTGGAATATCGTGTTTAAAGGAAGATTCGTTGATGTATGCACCGTATCTCTGATACTTACGTTTATTTACCTTCAATAATTGTTTAAAGGACCTTGAAGAAGTTTGTTTACGTTAGAGAACTAGAACTCACTTGTAAAAGCTATCAGTCATAAGGAGGAAATTGAAATTTAATTAAGTATCTACCCAATGTGATTAATCAATGTGGAAGTAAATGGACCCTAGCGTATCTTATGCGATCCTGGTGTCCGTACGAACTGGCTTTGCATTACCTTGGTCCTGGACTAGTACTAGGGCCACCCCTTGGGCTATTGCAGTAGCACTAGTACCTGTCGAGCATTGCAATTTGGACACCACCAACTGTGATGTGGGATTGCAACTGGGAGACATAGGATTGGCTCTAATACCATCCGTAAAGATCAAGGAGAAGTCACTGCAAAAAGCTTGATATTAGAGTAAGGTAACCCAAATATCTAATGAATCCACTTTAATCCTAGCTTGTGTGAAGGAATAATGTTGACTTATATTTTAGATTATTTAGTATTTTTTCGTTTTAGGTAAATTTTAGAAAATCTTGTGAAGTAATAATCACTACAATCAGAAAACATTGCGGTATTTATTAGTTGATCAAGAAACCTTTCTTCCTGAGCTATTCAGGTCAGACCTTTCCTTTGGACTTAGAAATATTCATTAGTGAGGATAAAGTTATTCGGCACGAGATTTTAATAATTAAATGAGTTTTTTTTTCAAAATTATGTTTGAATTAGAATATGAAGTTCTCAATTTGTTGTTTTACTTTGGCTCGTACAATTAATTCTTGAACAATTCCTGCAAAGGACGGGACAGGAATACCTGCTAATTTTGTAATTTTATCTACTATTAGCCCTCTAATTTTGTAGTTTTATCTACTATTAGAACTTAAACAAAACTTCTTCTGTTTTATACTTGTATTCCGACTGTAACTGCATCATACAAAGTTTGAACTTCCAGACTAGCCTTATTCACACGGTTCACTTTCATGAGCTTTCCTTTAATCAGTTCTGATGTTCTTTGCAGGAAACTGTAGATCCGTCGCTTGCACAAAATTATAAAAGTGATGAACTTATAAACGCAATTGAAGTAAGAGAATGGGAAAATGGAAAATCTGTTGATGAAATAGCAGCAAAACAGGGCATCAGAATCAGAAGACATCCTGCAAAAGCATCAGAGTCTCCGCGTAATATCTTGGAGAAGATTGTATGGGACAAGGTCACTGAAGTTTCAGAGGTATCATCCATGTTTCCTTGGTAAATCATATACCATGATATACCCTTCTCATATGTTGCTAGTAGTAATTCATCAAATTCTTCACTTTCTAGTTTAAGAAAACGAAACCTCTTAATTTGGTTAAAGAAGCTGCTGAGCAAGCTCCTCCTGCAAGAGATTTTCTTGGGGCCCTGAAGGCATCATATCACCGAAATGGTGTTCCTGCTTTGATAGCTGAGGTGAAAAAGGCTTCTCCGAGCAGAGGGATACTGCGGGAGGATTTTGATCCGGTGAGTTTGTTACAGCTTAAAATATTTTTTGTAATCTTATGGTAGGTATTGTATGCAGAGCAGCCCTCTTAAGTCAATATAAGTGTTTGTTCATTTTGGGCAAACTGCTTCTGCCTAAGCGTGATACGATGATGTTTCGCCCTTTTCCATGTCAAATTAGTATAATCAGTCACTAACCTGCAAATATTTGTCTACAAAGAAAATATCAAATGGCATTTCATCCTTGTTCCATGTCAAATTATATAACTAGCAGGTATTCTGTGAATAGTTTATGTATGGAAAACAATCATCTCTAGCCAACATTGTTATGTTTAATATGCTCATCAGTTGCATTTTCTACAAATTGTCACCGTCTTCAAATAAGTATATTTGTCGAGTTTATAAACTTTTCTTCGTTCTAATGGTTTCTAAATTCAAGTTTAGTGTTTTTTTCCCATTTTTCTTAGTGAGAATTAGGTGCATCCAATTGGCCTGTCCAGGATTAAATCCTGGACCACATCCTCTTTACATTTTCTCTCCTCTCTTAACTAGTGCACTCTCATCCCAGTTGGTATCCAGAAGAGAATATGCAAACCTTTAATTGTAGAATTATATGTTAGATATGGTTTTTTTTACATACATACCCTACCCTATTTGCAGATTTACCTGCCAAATCTATATATTTGCTAATTTACCCCCACAATTCCTTCACATTGAATAAAAATACCACTTAAAAGTTATTTTAAGGAATATACGCAATATATTCCCATATTGAATTTGGATAGAGCTTGAGCTAGAGTAAATGCGAGTTAAATAAACACCCCAACAATCTTACATGGGCTTTTATAAACCTGTGTTCTCTCTCTTCTTCTTCTTCCAGGTTTTCATGAACCCAGTGTACTGCAATCTCCACTTCTCTCTCCCATCCTCTTTACTTTCTCCTCTTCTTCCATCAATTTTGGCCCCTGTTTCAAAACACAATATCCAAAAGATGTTGCCAAAAGATCCACAGCACAGCAGAGCACATTAAACATGTTAGCTATGTACAAGAAGTTGCCCAAAGTATTCCCAGCACAAGACATCTCTTACTGCTAGATGCATGCACAGCGGTGCAAAGTACAAGCAGTAACAAGTCTTAGCTCATAACCAAGTTAAAACAAGTCTTAGTTCCTGCTAGAATACTTGATCGATTGGTACCCTGAGTCCATATCAGGGTTGAGCTACCTATGGCTATTGGAAATTTGGAATTGATGCTGCTTTATTGATTTCGTCTTCATTGAGGGAGAGTGTGGGAGGTAGTAGTATGCTGTAGTGAGAGCAAGAGAGGAGGTAGTAGTGCGTTGTGGAGATAGAGGGAGATGGGGAAGGGCATTTTGGTCATCTTAGTCCTCTGGTAAAAAAGAAAACTAATAGTGTGAGATGAGACAGTACTTTTACATAATTTTATAGAAAATGGGGGTAAATTAGCAAAGTCTATACTTGGAGATAAATCTGCAAATATGATGGATTTGAGGTGTATATACAGGAAAATGGTTTAGATATTTGCATTTGAAATTGTTACAGTATATTTGTTCATAAAAAATTTGAGCTTATTGTGCTTCCTTGATTGAGCAGTAAGTAAAAGAGCAATATATGCAGGCACTTTATGTTGATTTATTTATACACAAGATCTGATTTAAGATGCTACATAACTTTCCTTTTGTGGACATAATTTAAGTTTTTTTTCACAATTATTCTTATAACAGAACATGCTGGGTTTTAGATATGTCATCATTTTCCTGCATGACTACGCTACTCGATTTCCACCCTGTCAACTTAAGATTGAAGCAGTTGCTAAAGAACAAGTTTCTAAATTATCTGATTAATCTTAGTTCTGCAGTCTGTGAAGTGCCATGAACAAACATATAGTAGGGAACACTATGGCAGTGAGGGAGCGGCGGGGGGGGGGGGACGAGTTCCATTTTTTGGCTTTATCCTAGCGGCTAAAAGATTGCTTACCTGATTGAATGACGAGTATTGGGGAATGAGGACATTATTAGAAATGAAATTACTGTAGTGCATCACATTCTGTTATTGTTAAGAGCGATTTGATTTTTGTCAGATTTTAGAAGTAAACAGTTTACGTATGAGATTATCCAAACAATTTTCCTTTAGGTCCTAATTAAATTAGAAATGTTGATATATTAGTATAGAAGATGGATGATGATCAGAGAACTGAACCATTTGGGTACATATTGAGGGAGGTTTACGGCATATGTAGGTTTGCAGAATCAGAAACAACAACAATAAAAAACAACGATAACAACAACAAACTCTTCATCCCAAATTTTGAGGTCGCCTAATAAATCCTATTATTGTAGGCTTGCAGAAACATAGAGTTTAAACTGGGGAACTTTTTTTGGAGAGAGATAATTGATTAACCTGTATACGGCTACCTCTATAGGCTCTATTACTAGGTGTTGCTCTTACAGGAAAGTGTGCTGAAGGTTTCATAGCTCACAAGTATTTGCTACCTAGCATATTAAAGAACCCTGTTAAAAATTTGAATGCTAATGAGAGAACTGAAAGCAATCCATGGACTGAACATCTCAATAACTATTGACTGGGGCCTGCAGATTGTACAATATAATAAAGAACAATTTTTCAAAACAGCCCCATTTCTTTTTTTAATTTTTAAAATCGACCTTTTTTTTATTTACCAAAACCGACCCGTTTTTTGCCACGTCAGACTAATCACTTTCCTAAACAGTCGGGGTTGCCAACCCCGACTATTTAGGACATAATTTTTTAGGGTTTAAGGCTTCTAATTTGGGGTTAACACCCTCCTAAATAGTCAAGGTTGGCAACCCCGACTGTTTAGGAAAGTGATTAGGCTGACGTGGCAAAAAACGGGTCTGTTTTGGTAAATAAAAAAAAATGGTCGATTTTAAAAATTAAAAAACAAAATGGGGTTGTTTTGAAAAATTGTTCTATAATAAACACTCCTCTTTTGTCAGATGCCTGAGCCCTTTCACACTACACTACCTGTAGGCTGTACACACTCCGATATCCTAGTACCATATACAAGTACTTCCAATTTCATTGTTGGAAGTGAAAATTGCATGCTTCAAATCTGCTATATTTCTTTAAATGCTTAGGGTTGTTATATTTGTTCCAGTATGTTATGGTTCATAAAGTTTAAGCGCTATAGAATCCAAGTTCTATCAAGTATGTTCCATCAATTTACTTACATGAGCTAAGCATCATAACCTTCTGTCATGCAATAATTGCTTGATCCTGTTTAACAGTTAGTTTTCAAGAATTTGGAAGCATTCTTTGCTGCTCTTGTGGACATCCATTCTTTAATTTGTCCTATAGTAGTCATTTCTCGGGTTTGATGTCACAAAATTACATAACATTTGGATAAATAATTTCTTCATGATTCCGTAGCTACCTATGTTCTTCTCTTCATGCGTCAAGCTGCAAGTACTTGTTTTAAGCATTAGCTTCATTAGCTTTTGGTGGTGTTTCATACTTAATTCTGTTGTTGTAACCTCTTATGACTAAAAGGTAGTTCACACTTCACAATTATGTTTCGCTTTGAAATCGAGGGTTCTTAGCCTTCAACCGCTTATTAGGACAAATAAAGATCAAATTTACCCGTTAATGAAACTCTGAAAGAGTTGATGCTGATTAATTCTGGTATTGGATTCCAATGATTCATCCCAAATGATTCACCAACTTTCTTTTTCTAAGGTTTTGTTTGCAATTTAGCATTTTGTTGCATTTTCTTGAAATTTTTTTCGATCAACGATGTATGCTCATGAATCTGACAGGATAATGTCAAACTCTATATTTCTAAACATGTATAGAAAAAACCTTGGTTGGCTTGTGACTAAATTGAAAACAGGTTCAAGTAGCAAAAGCCTATGAGCAATATGGGGCAGCATGTCTAAGCATTTTGACCGATCAAAAGTACTTTCAGGTAAATAATCTTACCCCACTGGTTGCCAAGATGGGAAAACTGTGAAATTCATACTGGTTTGATATAATCAATCTTTTGTTAGGGAAGCTTTGAAAATTTAGAAGTTGTGCGTAAGGCTGGAGTTAAGGTTTGTATCATCACATATATTTCCAAATAAGAAACTTTGTTATTTTGGTATTTCAACCAGTTCACTATCCTGTATTTCCTAAATTCATTTTCATACAAATTTATAAAATCGGTGAGATTTGCAGTGTCCTCTTTTATGCAAAGAATTCATAATTGAAACGTGGCAAATTTATTACGCTCGTGCGAAAGGAGCAGATGCAGTTCTGTTAATTGCTGCTGTGCTGCCAGATCTTGACATTAGATTGATGACTATGATCTGCAAGGAACTTGGTTTAACTGCATTGATTGAGGTTAGTGTATTTCTTCAGTTGTTTGTTATATTTGGTTCTCTTCCCGGTTAAGCGGTCATATGGAAATTCTTACCTGTTCCTATATATAAGGTTTTAAATATCGGATCTCAGGTCATGTCGGATGGCTGAAATCCATGTCGGATAGCGAAAATTAGGGATATATCGGGGGACATGGACTAAATATCGGATTGTCATATCGGGTGGTGTACATATGTATAATATCATGTCCTAAATGTAATCTAAGCATTCCTAAATTTAATATAAGCATATAAATTATATAGATTAAACATATAAAAAATTGAATCTGCAAAGTTCTCTTACTCAGCATACTTTATAAATTCTATAAAAAGTAAAAACTCATCACCCCCAAACAGATAAAAATAGAATTTTCTCCCATCTGTAATCATCCATAGAGTTGCTACTAGACTGTCACATGAAGAAAAAAAGTAGAAACTCTTTGAGTATTACATGTTTATATCATTAGATGATAAACATGGATTATTACGAGAAACCAGGGATTATTATTAAATGATAAACAAAGATCATTACGAGAAATCAGCAGATGTCTTGTTTTTCCTAGCATGCTGCCCAAAACATGTTGCCAAACATTGAATTCTACAAATGAATAATTTACAGCAACAAAAAGCGTGAAGCTATTTGAATAACAATATAATGTAATGTAACAAAAAATAGTAAAAACAAGGGGAAACAGAGAGGAGAAGGCGACGCCGGAGATGATGGATTTCGATGTCGCAGGGAGGAAAGAGAAGAGAAGCCAGCGATGTGAGGAGAACGAACACAAGACGAAGAAGATGAAGGCGGCTAATGGGTTCCCAGTCGTAGCCCTAGGTTTTTTTCGTTTTTCTTTTAAACGGGTTCGTTTCTGTCTATTGGGTTCAAAAACAGATCCTTAACATCAGAACAGGTCATATGGGTTTGGGTTTTTAAACCTAAACCCAAACCCAATAAGTGAAAAACGTTTTAAACCAATAATAGAGCATATCGGCCGATTTTTCGAAGCTGAAAAGTCGGCCAATATGCCCGATATATCGCCGACATATCCGATTTCCTCTGAAAAACGAAATGTGACATAAAATTGCCCGATTCATGTCATTCGAACCCTAATTCCGACATATCGGCTGACATGTCGGCCGACATTTAAAACAATGCCTATATATGGTGTGTGGGTGTGGGCATGTGAATATATGGGTAGGTGGGTGCATTTGTGAAGGGTGTGTATGACATATCAATGTGTGGCATGTGAAACTAGAACCTTAATATTGAGAAGCACATTTTAGAGTCCTTTTTGGTCTCATGCACTTGATCTTATAGCAACAGCAGCCAATGGCCTAACCTAAGCCTCCTGGAAGTCTTCTTGCAATTCTCCATGATAGGATTACTCAACAATTACAATGTGGTTCTGCTTGTTAGCATCATAATTTCCCTGCAATTGTTTTTCAGTTGAGGATTGCCATTTGCAGAAGAAGGCTTCTTTCCTGGGGATATCTTCCATGAGATTTTGAGCACCAATAACTTACTATGGCTTCTTTCGTGTGGTACCTTCCATGACATTAACTTCATTTGAAGTTAGTTACCAGTTCTTAAAATCTAAATCTATATGTACAAACACATACACATTTGTTAAGTTATACAAAATGATAAATAGTTCTTCAGATAAGTTCACAATTACTAAAATGAATCTATTGTTAAGTTTAGCTTTTTTAGCTAATTCTTGCAAGGCTGCTCGTCAATTTATGTCCCCCGTTACTCTTAGTAGAACTTTCTATTGTCAAATTAATAAAAAGAATCTATTGTTCTGTGATATTGATAAATAATTTTTCCTGTTAGGTCCACGATGAACGAGAAATGGACCGTGTTTTGGCAATAGATGGAGTTCAGCTCATTGGTATCAACAACCGTGACCTTGGTATGCTGATATCACTATGGTAGCATGTGATTTATTTTACAGATATTGTAATTTTTCTATTAGTTGAAATTGTGGGCTATTATGTTTCCTTCAAAACTTTCCCTAGATTTTTGTTAAACAGTATCCACTTTTTGTGCTAAAAACAAACTAGTTTTTATGAATTCAAGTATGCAAGTAAACTTTTGTGACCAGGTAATATGTTGTGCATTGTGTTCCATAAATATCGTGTACCATACGATAAATTAAACATGTGTAGTGGAGAATTCTGTTTACAACCATATATATCAGAAGAATATGAATAAATGAAGATATATAGTCACAAATAACTAAGAATAAATTTTAAAAGTATGTAGGAAAAATTTACAAGTGTTTTAAATGAAACAAATACAAGTAACATAGAAAAAAAAATCACTTTCTTGTAGGCAAGGTCTTCTCCTCGTAGCCCGTTCATTGTCAATTATATGTCACATATATAACCATGTGATTCCTATCTTCAGTTTCTTCCCTCGTATTTGTCTCATCTTCAATTATAGGCAATACTTAAGGAAAATCACAAGCATCAATTATTATTACACTAGAATGTTTTTGTTAATGGTCCCACTACACCCGAATTATGAAGTTACAATGAGGGTTACAATTTTTATGTTTTTGCAACGCCCCATCAGGTTGGGTGCCCTTATCATGGTGCTAAAGCCTAGACTTACACAGCGATATTCTGTTTCTTAAATCTTTTTTAAATACATGGAGGATAAGATTAAACATGGATTTCTTTGGTACCAATGTGCTTGGTTGCAAAGGTCCATGAACAAAGATGGACTAGGCTAATTCCCTTGGACTCTACTGACTCAAGAATCAAGCCTACTTTGCGGGATAAATCCAAGCATTTAACAATAATATCCATCTAACTGTTTATAGATATGATTTAATCCCAGACATTTAACAATAATATCATGCCTTTGCCAAACCAAACCGACACTTAAGCCAAATGGTTGCAAGACTCCTGATAAAACTCAAGCTTTGGCCCGGATCCAATTGGTTCCTTAAGCCTAGTAAAGATGACTAATGGGGATAACATCTCAATGTAACTCTTCGAAAATGAACATCGCTCTATAGACTAGTGTGATATCATGTGCACCTTAACGAATCTAATCCATATTGGGACAAGTTACCCCATTAACATCTGTAACTTCACGTGCGTTCCACTTTGAGACCTAAGTCATGCTAACCGAGTCTCAAAGTGAACAAAGCTCCAAACGTCCATCAAACCATGAGCTCTGATGCCATCTTAAAAAGGTCTTCCCCTACACTGAAACTCTAGAGTATGGTGAGGTTAAGGTTTATAGTTTTCATATCAAAATAATTTCTTTATCCTTGTAGTATTGAGATGTTGTGATTGGCTCTAATGGAAGCAGCAGCAGCAGCAAGAAGAAACAGCAGCAGCAGCAGCAAGTGGTGGCAGCAGCAGTGAAGACCGCGGCAGCAACAATCAGGGCAGCGGTGGCAGGGCCACCGGACAGGCTGCTAGTGGTCGGCAAGGGACTGGGCTCCGGCATGGCCGGCACCACGCCATGGCTATTGGACCGCATACGGCCACCGCTTGTGGTCCATATGCAGCAGCTGGACAGCGTGCGGTAGGCGCACACTGTCTGCGCGTTTCATGTTGCTATCGGGTCTCTTTCGGGTAATGTTTTTGGGGTATTTTGTTGTATCCAGTTAGAACTCTTTAAAGAGGGTTCTCCCATCAGACTAGGGTTTATCCCATCAAGTTTACAGTCACTAAGAGAGAGAGAGAGAGAGAGAGAGAGAGAGAGATCTATTTCTTGTTCTTGTGCGGATTTAGAGGGATGCTGTAACTCTTCTTCTTGACAGCAAGTAAAAGGAATCCCCCCCCCCCCCCCCCCGCCGAAAAAAAAAAAACACGCACAGTCTGCCCTCTCTATCCGTAGATGTAGGAAAATTTCCGAACCATGTAAATCTCATTAGTCTTGCTTCGGTGATTGCATGCTAGTTTTCTTTGAGTTTGTTTGTTGTTTGCCAATAGGTTGGGTCTCTGATCAATCTCCACCGTAGGAGGCCACCTGGATTACCTATTTGGTAGGAGTTCAGATAAGATACGGTTTTAGTAGCATGCAGAGAAAGAAAATTGGACATGAGATAGTTTTGTATTTTCAATTGATCAAATAGGTATCTTAAGTTCGAATGTTTTGTTTTGCGAAGAGAGTAGGCATATTTTTAAACATGCAACCATATATAAACCTAAAAGGTCTCTTTGAAGGGGTTCAACTCTACATCTGGCTTGAGTCAACTTATTCTAGCATATGTTATGTTGTAAGATACAAATAATATTTTAAGGTCAACAATGTCAGTATGCCACAAGATACATTGACTCGGTGGCTACATAAATAGTGTACTTACATTATTTTGGATATTGTATTGAATCGTGAGATATCATATGTAGTATGACAAATATGCTTTAATATCACAATAATATCTAGAAAACATCAGGTAAATGTCAATATTTTATGATTTGGGGAATCTCAATAAGTTTTTTTCCCATTTTTCTTGCTAAGCTTGCTTCGTGCATGAGTTTTTCCCCTACTTCGTGTTCTTGATTTTTTATTTGAAGTTTATCTTCAGATGTTATCTTGACTTTTTCTCCTTTTATGATTGAATAATATCTATTGTCTTCCTAATTTATATCCCCTAATCAACCATAGTTGGACGTTTACCCTTTATTTTGATATTTGTAAATTTAACACCCCCCCCTGCCCGAGTGAAACCCCACCCACCAAAAAAAAAAAGACACAAAACAATTCTCAGGATGTTATTTTTTTCGGTTAGTTGTTCAGCGAAAATTTTTACCTTCCATCATTTAAAAACTAATGACATTAGGTTGGAGGATATTTTAACTCAATGTGGTAGAATTAATTGTTAGTAAAATACTTGAGCTATATTGTGTTTCTGATCCTAGTCATGTGAAAATTGATGTCATTGTCTAATTTCATCTGATGAGGATCCAATTATTGAAGTATATTTTCCGATGGTCGGAAGGATTAAGCCAAAATGTAATTATTTGGATTAAATATAGCGTTAATGTGGGGGCTATTGTAGATTATTCCCCTGTAGGGAAACACCAAACCCAAGGTTTTAAATGTCGCCCGACATGTCCGACATGTCGGCCGACATATCGGTTTGAGGGCTTGACCGACACGACATGGACGTTTTCAACTCGTATGTCGGTTTTCAGGGCCAAATCGGAAATATCAGGGTCATATCGGGCATATCGGCCTATTTTTTAGCTTTGAAAAATCGACCGATATGGTACTTTTTTTAAGATCTGTTTTTTGTTATGGGGTTTGGATTTAGTGATAAATACTCAAACTCTTTTGATCTGTTCTCATGTTTAAGGTTTTCTTATGAACCCGATAGAAAGAATTTGTGAACCTAAATCCATATATTATTTACTTTTTTATATGTTTAATCTATAGAATTTATAAAGTATGCTTATATTGAATTTATGAATGATTAGATTATATTTAGGACACGATATTATACATATGCGCACTACCCGATATAGAAATCCGATATTTAGTCAATGTCCTCTGATATATCCCGGATTTCCGCTATCCGACATGGATTTCAGCCATCCGACATGAACCCGACATCCGACATTTAAAACCTTGACCAAACATTATCCATAAATCATTTTTCTTAGCATTTAGACCCCTGATGCCCTAATGGAATTATACTAAAAGAGGTGAATGTATATTATGCATGAGAGACTTAAGAGGTTTCTCTGATTACAATGTGAATAAACCATTAATAGAACATGTTACTCAAGAAACCGCTGCAAAGATGATGTTCTTTAGTTTTTCTTGATGATCATTATGTAGTTGTTGATGATGAACATGCCATATGTTACTCAAGAAACCGTTGCAAGGATGATGTTCTTTAGTTTTTCTTGATGATCATCATGTGTTAGTTGTTCTTTTAATCATGTAGGGGTTACTTCCCTTTATTTTTCACTCAATGCTTGTTTCTACTTCAGGTACCTTTGAAGTTGACATCTCAAACACCAAAAGGCTTTTGGAGGGAGAACGTGGTGAGATTATTCGCAAAAAGGACATCATTGTAAGTGAATATTTCCATTGATATCTGATGTAATGCTTTATCTAGTCCTGGATATATATTTGTGTATTTCATGCTATAATTCACCCCTAATTTGCATTGTAGCATATCTGATACATGCTTATTAATTATCGCCGAAAATATAATTACAGTTATAATGTCTTCTAGAGCTAATGGGGTTCAGGTTTAGAAGACCACTCTTCACTTGTATAGGTTTATTACATATTACAGATTGTGGATTTTAAGGGACTCACTTTCTGGGCTTCTCTTTAGTCTAATCATGCTGTTTTCGATCCCCTCCAAGTTTGCCATCAATAACCTGTCCTTGTGTTCATCGTCACGACTCTGGTGGTAATGCACTCAATGTTCACTTTCCACTTTATTTCTCTGCACATCTCTTGAGAACCTCATTATGCCAAGTTTAATCTTCTTGGGCCCTGCTTGTTGTTAGAGATCTGGACGAGTACAATGTATCTGCCCTTTACCCGAGATTCAATTTTTTTTTCTATTTTGGATTGTTACCCAGCCTGAAGGATATGCATCTTCCCTGTGTCTGTTAATTTCATTCTTACCTAGCTACATCTCATGCGAAGAAGACAGATTAGTTTCAATTTCCATAAATCTCTTATCTATCTTGTGATCCACACTTTGGAGTTATTTTTTGAACTTTGAGAAGAAGAAACATCTGGAGATCTCACTCAAACTTCTATCGGTTTTTCCTTTTGCTTTAGTGAAACTGCATCTATTCAACTTTCAAATAACCTGATGTTATTCAAGGTTGTCGAAAACTCAAGCTAGCTTCAGAGATGGACATAGGCCTTGTGATTCTTCCATCATTGTTTGCCTCAACGGATCAAATTGACTCTAAGGCCTTTATCTGATGTCTCACTTGGCCTGCCTTCATATGCTAACTTGAAGCTTATTTCGTTTCGTTTTTATCATGTCTTGTTACTAATATAATTGAGATGCACATGCCATCTCTGTTACTATTATCCGTCTGATTAATTTTTTATTTTTAATATATTTATTCATGATAATAATGGAATTATGTATTCAGTTGATGCTGTCCTTCCCATGAACTATATAATGCTGCTGGAAAAAGTATCAGTATTGAATTCGTAGGACGTATAAACCCACTACATTAACCCGAATTTTGTCTGGTAGTGTTGATAATTGTGTGTGTCCACGTGTTCCTTGATTCTGGGAACATATAGAAAACTTAAGGTTCAGCTTCAGCTGAATGGTAACAACAGAAACATCTATATTTGGAATTTATTAGATAAAAGTTCTTGTTAACTGTTGGCTGTAACTGTGTTATTTCAGGTTGTTGGCGAATCTGGATTGTTTACTCCTAAGGACATTTCTTATGTTCAAGATGCTGGGGTTAAAGCGGTATGTCTTGTAAACATTCTCCTGCCTAAGTACTGGTGACTTGCAGTTAAACTGCACTTATTGCGTGATATACTACTTTGTTCCAGAGCTAGGAATTTCAATGTTTGGAGCCAGATTCAATAATTAAAATTATCTATAGATTATTAATATTAGGCAAAATGTCCAATAACGAGTAAAGATTCTATCATAATGTCCTACAGAATGGAGTAATCTATACCACTCACGGGTGGTGTGGTGGTTAGTTTGGGAATTGTAAATATTCTATCTATGGTGTAAACCACCCCATTCCTGTTGGGGTGGATCTGATTGGCTAATCACAAACTCAATTACAAGAATATCTAGTAAACCTACACTTAAGGTGATCAACTTTATTGGAAGTGCATAAAAACTAAAAATCAAGTATTTAATATATATTTTCCTTATATATTAGGTGGATAAAAAAATGGACAGTCTAATTTATTGCTTATTAACTGTCTACAATTTAGGAAAAATTGACATATTAACGGTATCTATTTTTTCTAAATGGGCAAGTGCTTGCATGCTACTCCTATGTCCAAAATCAAAGAACTAACCAAAATTTTAGCTTCAGCCATCATTCAGCAGTCAGTTCATGCCACCTTCAGGGCACTCGATCTCTCAGGCACTTTTCAAGATGTAGATGAAATTGAGGAGTGGACTTATCCATTTTGAATTAGCTAATATGGAATTTGAATGAGAAATATTTGACTGCAAATCTTTTTTGGAAATAAACAAGTTTTATGTCCTAAAAATAATTCTATCTGTTTATTTAAAAGTGACCATTGTACTCCTGAGTGGACTTATCCATTTTGAATGAGCTAATATGGAATTTGAATGAGAAATATTTGACTCCAAATCTTTTTTGGAAATAAACAAGTTTTATGTCCTAAAAATAATTCTATCTGTTTATTTAAAAGTGACCATTGTACTCCTCATATTTTCTAAATTGACTGTTGACGCCTTTACGTAAGTCGAAGGAGCCACATGATATTAACTAAATCGCATTTTAACGAAATAACCCTTATTCCTACCTGTGTCTGTTCTAATTTACCCAGATGGTGATCTGTATCTCTAATGCTATTTGGACTTGTATTTATAAGCCTAAATTGAATCCTTAAACTAATATCTCAACCTATAGGATTAAAATGGTTTTTTGAGGTTCGGATTTGTGTTTAAAATGGGGGTATAAAAAGAAGGATAGGGCTGGGAAGGGTTAGGATTGGATTTCTCACAGGCAATTCTGTTCCTAAATGAAGTGCATTCTAGAAATTATCTTTTCCCCTTCCCGTAAGTGGTGTTAAGGGATCACCATTATGTTTTCCCATTTCCCTGAGCGGTGTTAAATGAAAATGTGGGCATAGTGATCACTTCATGTATACACATGGATGCTATTTCTATTATGCTAAATACTAACTAGGTCTTCTAAAATTTTTGCATGATATTGCACGCACCTATATGTTAACCATAGCCTCCAAGCCTTTTAACATGAAAACCTACTTGGAAGTATAACTTTCTAGACAGAAGAGTGCACTATGCAAGTTTGAACAGACAGGTCACATACCTATTATTGACCATGCATCTATTAGTGTTATCAATGCGCGAGGCGCAACGCAGAGTGCAAAGTCCTTTTATGCGCACATGCGCAAGGTGTAATGCGATGCGTGCGCCCAAGTGAAGCGAGGCGCAAACCGGTCACATAATTTTTCTAGATAGATAATCAAGCATGAAATAACATATTTATGTATTTTCACATAAAAAATATGCCAAGATTAATAATAGTACGAAATCACTATATATGGTTGTAATCCTAATGCTAATACATTCAATATAGTAGTGAAGTTTATAATTTTCCAAGTCAAAAGTCAAATCAAGACTAATATCGAAGCAACATCAAACGGTAAACGAGGACTAGTTAAGAGTCCTCAATCGGGCTACTAAAAAGGTCTAACAGGTTTATTTTACATTTTTGGGAGATGGATTATACATACGAGACTATGCCTTGGATGCGCCCTGTGCAAAGCCTAGGTTGCTTGCGAGGCGCAAAAGCCAGGTGCAAGACGCTTTTGCAGTGCGCATGAGGCGCGCGTGCCTTTGATAACGCTAGCATCTGTTTTGAATTATGAATGAGGCAGACACAAGCATAAGGGAGATCTAAGCCATTGATAATGTATTAATTTATTATTGATTAGAACTTGAAGTTATATTATTAGTTTAGTAATAGTAGGTCAGGTAATAAAGGAATAATTTTATTATGTATTAACTTATATTTCTTTGACACCACAGGTTTTGGTGGGAGAGTCCTTAATAAAAAAGAGTGATCCTGGAAAGGCAATTGCAGGGCTCTTTGGTAAAGATATATCAATATGATCCAATGCTTTCCTAAACTTCCCCAGCTCCTTATGTATCATGTAACAGTTTACATATCGAAATAAAAGCTTTTTGGGGTTCTGCAGTCCCCGGAATTTACATCTTTTTGTTTTTTTTTTTAATTTTTTCAATGACTGGTATAACTCTTGATGTTGCATTTAGTGCTATTTCATTTTTATCTCTTTACATGGATGATGTCCTTTTATATTTACAAATTTGAAACTTGAGCTCGGGTACCTGCATTCCTCTGATTCCAGCTGAGGATCCCACAATTTAGCTCAATGGTGGGGACTGGGCCGCTTTCATATAGAGATTTAGTTGTGGGCTCAAATCCTTCTTTAGTGAAAAAAACATATGGATAATTACAGAAATGTCTGACTATGAATTATAGCATATTAAGGTGTCGTCATCATTATAATATCATCATCTAATAATTTTTTTTTTCTAATTGAACACCGTCTGTCGCACACAAAGGCACTCTCGCTTTCTGTGTGTTTTTTCCAGTCTTGACTAGTTTCAATTAGATCTTTATACCGTGGCTACCATCACAACCTGCGTTTTCTGATCGAATTGAGCCATGTATGAAGCATTACTTGATCTTTATGAAGGTTACTCAAACTTTAGTCTGTGGTAATGAGCTATTAATAATCTTCTATTTGTTATTGGCTATCAGTGTTTTCTTTTGGTGGATCCTTTGTTCAACTATTAGAAACAGCAGCAGGCAGCTCTGTTGTAAGAACTTGATGTTTGCGCAAAAGACTGAAAAAGTCTGGCACCATTTCTGGCTGTTGTTGCAGTTTAGGATTCATTTTTAAGGATACACTTTTTCTCCTTTGTTTTCAAGCTTTTGCAATGGTCTCAGCATTCTTCAGCGATATATGTTACTTTATTAGTTTTCTTTCTTTTTACTCAGTAATGTCACAAGGTAACTTGAAATAAAACAAATGTTTTTTTTAAATGTCTGATATAGTCAATCTGATTGATATACCAAAATTTTCGAGGGATTAGTTCAATACATTGACTGGTGTGTTGTTATTCAGAATGTAAGATATAGTAGCAATTGGCAGGTACAAAATAGAACTCCTTGGTTTATTATATAGCTGAGTTGTGATGTTCTACGTATGTCTCCATTTATTAATCTGAATTCCTATGAACTTGTAGATATTCAGAGTAGTTAGGGTAAATTCTCAAACTTCAGTTCAGTTAGGGGCTGTTTGTTTGCTTAAAAAAAAAGAGAAATGGAGCTTTTGAAATTTGACAGCAGAGCCACGTCGGTTTTTGATTTCTACCCATTTCCATTTTCAACGTTTGGTTCGTTGAGTGATTTAAAGAAATGGAGGTGTGAAATGGCCTACCATGTCAGAATTTGCAGAAACCCTATTTCAAACCCTTCGAGTCTGAAATGGGTGAGAAATGAACTGTCGCTAATTAAAAAATTTGGGCGCTCACTGTTTCGAGACCCACGAAAAGTGAAATTGGGGAAATGGTTTAGGGTTCTCCTCACCGCCTTCCTCTCATTATTTTCTCCCTTCTCCCTCTCGAAGGCTTCATAGAGCACAGAGCCAAATATAAACCGCCCCTAAAATTTTAGAATTGCTTCATCACTTTTCCTTTCTAGATGATGAAAAATCAAAGCAAGGGCTAGGGCGACACCTATTTGGGGAGAAGTTTGGTGAACTTTGTGAAGTTACTGCAATTGCTAAAAATACAGAGGCTTTACGGTTGTATCTTCTTCTGCTACTTGCTACTTCATCAGATTTGCTAATTGCATATCTCAATTTGTAGTGTATATGCAATCTCACAACTTCATCCACAAGAGGTTCGATCTCTAATCATTGACCCTTTCCCTTGTTTTGAGAGCATTGTAAGGTTAATTTTTCAACATGCAAGAAAATTTTAAGTACTTTGCTTTACCGAAAATATGAGATTTCGAGATTTTACTTAATTTTTCTTGCTGTTGCATGTCTATATATGTACTGCTTGGTGACTTCCTCCTGTTAATTGTTGTTCATCACCGAAAATTTTGACTTAATTTGTTCATCACCGAAAAAATTGAGATTAGTTCTGTTGTGAGGTACTACTTGGTGACTTCCTTGTTAATTTTTGTCTGTTGTTTGTCCATCTTGTCTCTCAGAATTGCTTGTTTCTATATATGTACGATGATAGTTCTAAAATTTATGATGCATATTTTCTAAGCTTTATGGGTATTGAGACCATAGCCATATACGTCATATTTCATGCACCATCTTCATGTATTTATTCGTGCACTTTTGTTATGCGGAATAGCTGATTGTGAATGAGTTATGCATATATGGGTGTATTCATAGTGAGCTTGTGACGTGTACTACATTTACAATGTATTTCTCTCTATTTCAATTTTATTATTTCGTGCAACTGTAGTACTCTTTCTTCTTTAATGAGCTGAGCATGCTATGGAAAAGCATCATATTCTTTGGTTTTTTAATTTATAAGTGATAATTGTAGATGGATGGTGATTTTGATGATGAAGAGATTGTTTTAAGAATGTGTGTTGGGCATGTATTTTCTGTCATGGTTTTAGTATTGACATTCTTGAGGAGAATGAAGTGTCGACGTAGATCAATACGGTCTGGGCCAAGTGAAGAAAGGATAAGACAACAAAAACTTAGAGATGATTTTATGAATCGTATATATCACGTAGATCAAAACTTTGTTAGAATGCGATCAGGTGCTTTTATCAAACTAGTAAAGATTATGAAGAAAAAAAAATCTAATAAAGGACTCAATGCATATAACAGTAGAAGAGCAGCTTGTAATAACATTAAATATATTGGGTCATAAATCAAAAAACGTATTGTGAGAACACAATTTATAAGATCAGGGAAGACAATTAGTAGATACTTCAATACAGTATTACAAGCTATTTCATGCATACAAGGTCGATATATGAAACAAGCACCGAATGTAGTGCCACAATAGATCCTTAACAATCCATCATATTACCCATTTTTCAAGGTATATCATCCACACTATAATGTTAGGCAAATACTTGTCTAATCAAATCATATCTTACATTAACATAGTAAGTTGATGTACTTTATAGGATTGCATAGGTATGATATATGGGACACATATGGATGCTATGCTACCTGCTAGTCTTGTTCCACGGTTCAGAGGGCGCAAAGGTGTCACACAAAATATTCTTGCAGCTTGTACCACAAACAAATTGGTCACCTACGTGTTAGCTGGGTGGGAGGGATCTGCAAATGACTATAGAATCTTTCAAGATGCTCTATCTAGACCACAACCATATGGTTTAAGAGTCTACACTGGTAACATTTTTGTTAACTCCTCAAATTAATTACTCAATTATTAATATTCCTCACTAATATTTACAAAGTCATATCTCATAAAAATTTATGTGTATAATATGTAGGCAAATATTACTTGTGTGATACGGGGGTACACAACTATGCCAGCTTTTGGTGTTCGTTATCATTTAGATGAATTTACGGGGAGAACACCTCAAAATAGGAGGGAGTTATTCAATCTTAGACATTCATCTTTGAGGTCAAAGATTGAAACTACCTTTGGTATTTTGAAGAATCGCTTCAAGATTCTCACGGCAAAACCCCACTATCCCTTTGCCGCACAAGTTGACATTGTTTTGGCATGCACAGTTCTTCATAACTACATTGCAACAGTTGATCCAAATGATGATTTATTCAATGAGAACATCAACATTGAAGAGGATGATGGTGAAGAGAGAATTGAAGAAGACAACGACATTGTTGATTTCACTCAAAACCAAACACAAAGAGAACAAAATACCTCAAGAGATGAATGGAAGGCTCGTAGAGATCAAATTGTTAGACCCTAGAGGGTGATTAGGGTCTTATGCTAATCTAATCCGATTTTATGCTAATTAAAACTAATTAATAAATTATCCTAGCAAGTATGAAATACAACAATATATGTGAGCTAGGATAAGCAATATGAACAATGAGATATATCCTACATGATAAAAATATATGCAATGATATATAAACTAACACAAGGGTGAAATAACCATAAACAAGATAAGAGTGATAGTGTAAATAAACAATACAAACACATAATATGATCACGGAGTTCTGACCTTCCGTCCTACGTCTCCGCTCCCCACTCCCGGGGAGAAATCCACTATCACAACCGGGTTTTCTACGCTTACCCGAACAACGTTTATACCACACAATACGGTTTTATAGTTTATCGAAAACTCTATAACTAACACACTCTTGTAATCCCACTCTACACCCTCTCAAGTGTTGAACTAGACGTATCTCCCTCAAGTGCTCGGATACAACCTCTTCCTAAGTTCGTCAACTGACGCCACTCCTCTTGGGACGATCCCCGACTCTCGCCACACACTTCTCTCGGTGTACAAGTGTATTACAAAGTGAATCTCACAATAAGCACAATACAAAGTGTTTGTTCTCTACAATGGATGAGAACGAATTATTAGCTCACTCTCTAAGTTACATAATCACACAATCCAATTATACTATGAATGTAAATACAATAAGCTTAATGGTTGTGTGTGTGTAAACAAAGAGAAAATAAAATCAACTAAACTCAATATGAACACTAGCTTAATAAAATGATAATCAAACAATATAAAATATAAAGCTAGATTGAGTTTAGAAAACTTCTCAATAGATCAAGAGTGGAAGGAGAAGAGTTGGATGCTCAAACACCAATAGATGATCTCCTCAAGCTCTTGTGAAATTAGTTTCACAAACTCAAACTCTCAAATGCTTAAAAGCTTCTTAAACAAACTTAAACAACACTTAAACCCTTGTTTAAAACAACTTCTTGGATTGCTACTGAAAACTAAGGTATAATGGGGTATTTATATGAAACCCTAAAGCCAAGAGAAAGCCAAGAAAAGACCAAAAAACTAGCTTAACAACGGCTCTGGAAACTAGCCGTTGGAGCAGATTTGACAGTGCGGCGGTCGATCGCGAAGGTCATCAAAGCAGAGAAAACTTTCAGAGAGTTCGACGGTCGACCGTGGCGGTCGACGGTGACGGTCGACCGCGAAAGTTTTTGCTGCCCACTCAGAGAAAAACATAGGCGCGGT